TTCCGATTACAGAGGGAGACATAGAAACATAGTACGTGACAGCATTAGACTGTTTACTCAGACACAGCAAGGTCATATGGTTTAGCAGCCTCCCCACTACTCGCTGTACAATGTAGAATTGTGAACAATGTGACAATACATAAGATAGCGGCTGGGAAGCAGCTTGTCTTCAAAGCTTGCAGTGTTCCGTGAGCTTCTGATGCTCAAAACTTATTGGGCTCACTCCAAATGTCCATCTACAAAATAATGGGAGCAGTTGCAAGCAGCTATTTGATAGGCATTTAACCCTTTCGCTGCCAGAGACATTCGCGCTTTTTTTTTTTACACATTTTGTCACACTATATTTGTGCAACGGTTTATCAAACCCAAATTTTCTGTAAAAGAAAAAAAAAATGCATTCCAATTCATTTTAGTGCAGAAACATAAAACCCATTTTTATTTTGGTAAAATATCAAAGATGAGGATATGCTGAGTAAATTAATACTATGTCAAGACTCATAATTGTGTGCGCCCGTGCAACAGCGAAAAACGTCTCGTACCCAAAACTGTCTATAAACAACGCTTTAAAAGCCTCTACAGGTAATCAATTTAGAGTGAGCATGGAGTTACCCAGCATGTGTGCCACAAATAGTCATTTTCAAAAGTAGAAGCACCCAAAGCATGCATTTACGTATGTATGTATGTATATTTTTCGTTTTTATTTTATTGATCTGAATGCAGAGAAAACTTACTGTAATGTCTACAGCTGTGTGCTAGAGCCCATAGGACAAAATACACCTGTAATTGGATCAGATATTATTGTAGGGTTAAAAGGATACCACTTTAGAGTCCCAGATATACCACCAAGGGTATGCATAATCCAGACCCCTAATCAGCCTATGCAGCCATACACAATAGTCATAAGCATCCCTACAATCTCACAGGGGTAGTATGAGGTCATAACATATCCGGCTTTAGTGCCAACTTTGTGCAGTCAAAAATATGCAAGAATTACTTGCCAACAGCTGGTGAACAGCTGCGGGTGGTGGCATCTGCCATTGGATGAACAGCACATCTCGCCCGCAGCAGATCGCATTAGTCTCACAGATTCACTCAAGAGACTCATGCGATCGGCCCCATTCGCAGGTGTGAACGGGGCCCCAGGCTTAGAAAGAAAAGGCTGAACCATGCAAAGCAATAGGACGAGTCTGGAAGTGCAATTAGAAGAGTTAGACACCTATAAATAGAACCTAAGGGTGGACATTAATTGGAAAAAAATAAAGGAAAGAGAAGTTAAGAGCTGAGGCAAATAAAAGATATCATCTACTGGAAGACATTACCAAGTAGATCGTAATCACAAATAAAAGTGGTGAAGGAAAGAAGCAGGATAAGGATAAACAGAAACCCCCATCTTTCCTGCCAATAAGGGCCCGGGATATCATTATCTTTGTCTTCCAGTATTATGAAGTAAAGTACACAGCCAGCAGAGTGCAACAATAAAGGAACAGAAAATAGGAAGCAATACATTTCCTGTATTGCCACCAAAGAACTAGGAGGAGGATCCTTGTAAATACAACCATGTTCATACTGGATGTGCAACAACCATCTTGCGGCGGCAGTTGCAGCCAGGGTGCAACCCCCTCTTTTGTGACATAAAAAAAAGATAGTGCTTGCAGCATTTTTGCAGATCGCTCTGGAACAGAACGCAGACACTAATGTGCCACGTATCCCGGTGATTGCACTGCCATGGATTTCAAGGCACCGCTGCGCTGACCACTCTGGAACACACTGTGATGTGAACCTGGCCCTTAGGCTGGATTCACACCCAGGCAACACCTATTACACGTCTTTTTAGAGCAGTTTTTGTGCGCGTTTTTGTGAATGGGCAAAACACACACACACAAAGAAAATAAAGCAATGCTTGTTTTCTATAGTCTGAGGGGCAAAACTTGCTGAAATCTGCCTCAAAGTAGCTCATGCATCATTTTGAGAGGCGTATTTCTGCTTGTGACAAAACTCACAGGTGTGAACAGGGGCCATAGAAAGTAATGGGATTTCTTGGGTGGAGCATTTTGTCACGCTGAATTAGCTGCGACAATCCGCCTAGGTGTGAATGGAGCCTTAGGCATAGAGGCCAGGGTGAGAAGTACCTTTTCTCCCCATATCCAAAAGTTGAAGAATGCAACAGCCCGAGGCAGTGCTGACACGACGCACATTGCATTGAAGCTGAACTCCAGGAATTTTGGTTACTGGTTACCTCTAGCGGTGGCCAGACATATTGATAAGTGATCAATAAATAATATTTGATCCACAAACAAGGCAAATTTCCGATCAATTTGTAACCATAAAAACTATTGTAAATGATTGTTCGCAATCTATAAACTACTTATGTGATCTCCAAACACAGATTGAAGGTTTAAAAAGGGTTGGAAACCGAACAATTGATTTGGCTGCCTTACATGGATCAAAACTATTACAACGGGTTGAAGCGCGACTGCAAACAGCCACGTCCAGCTGAGTGCCGTTTCAATTGTTTCCATTGAGTTGTAGATTGAGATTCGACACATAAGAGCCGGTGTGATGATGGCTATCCTAGGTCTGCATTGCTGCTAACTTCTGTACAAATCATATGTTTATTGATGGACACTACACATGCCACTATTCTTCCAGCGCTGTGACTGAGCGTTCTGGCTCTTATACAGCGCCTGGCCAAAAAAAAAGGCACACTATAATATTTCATTGAATCGCCTTTAGCTTTGATTAGAGCACACATTCGCCGTGGCATCGGTCTGATAAGCTTATGCAAGGTCAAAACATTTATTTCAATCCAGAGTTACATTTATTTTTCACCAAGATCTGGTAGTGATGATGGGAGAGTCGGAACACTGTGTAAAGTCTTCTCCAGCACATCCCAAAGATTCTCAATAGGGTTAAGGTCTGGACTCTGTGGTGGCCAATCCGGTTGTGAAAATTATGTCTCATGTTCTCTGAGCCACTCCTTTACAATCTGAGCCCGATGAATCCTGGCATTGTCATCTTGGAATTTGCCCAATGAAAAACCCATTGATGGAAAAACCTGGTCATTCAGTATATTCAGGGGGGCAGCTGACCTCATTTTTGGGGGACATAACATTGCTAAACCTAGACCGGACCATCTGAAGCAACCCCAGATCATAACACTGCCCGAAATCCAGGTGGTGACTTTCTTTTTTTGGCCAGGCAGTGTATAATAAATGGATTCTGCCTTTAAGCTGCCCCTCATCCATTCACAGACCACCTTGTACTCTCAACAAAATACAAGGCGCTCTGTGACTGGATACATGGAGAGAAGGAACAGGTAAACAGCAGGATCCTTTCATTATATAAGAGTTGGAACACTCTTCACAGTGGTGGAAGACTAGCGGCGTGTGTAATAACCACCATCGTGTGTAATAACCACCATCAATAAATGTATGATTTCTACCGTAGACAGCAGCGATCCAGACCTAAGATCAGGACCATAATTACTGATCACAGGGCCCTACAGCAAAAATGTGATGAGGCCCGTACCTTGATGACCGTCATCTGAGGCTAGGTTCAGATCCGAGTGATACCCGGTACGCACATCCCGAGACCGAGCGACACAGCTATTGCACACAGCCCCATTTATTTTGATGAGGTTACATCCGTGCGGTAAATGCTGAAAAAAGGTACATGTACCTTGTTTTGCGACACACGATGTGCAGCTGTTCTTAGCCACGAACGTGTCTTGTGCACGATTGCTACGTGGTCAGATTGCCCAGGTGTGAACCTAGCATGAGCTGTGAGTAACAACGCCAAGATCCCAAAGACTCCTTGTGCCTATGAACGGCAGACTTTACAAGGGATAAGCGCTGTTGTCAACTACAATGGCTCCTATTCCTGCAACCTAATGGGGGGCCCCTTTCCACCTCCAGGCCCCATAGCAGCTGCCTAGGCTGCTATGGCTATAGTTACACCACTGCCTAGGATGGTCATTATTACAAGTAACTTACTTGGCTGTCCATGTTCCAAATAGAAAAAGTTTTTTTCCTGGAGTTCCAAGATATGATTTTTCCTCATGATACTTTTCTTGACATTACAATATATGACCCACCACCCCATGTGATCCAATATGCAGCATCAGCAGACACATGGAAATGGGTGGCACATCTTATGCTGCTTTTTATGACAAGCAGAACTTCATGGAGGAAGCTGCAGAGTCTCTATAAGGATGTGGCTTAGAACTGGAATATGCAGAACCCAATCATAGCTGTCACATGACCAGGTTTAACCTCCGGCACGTGACTGATCAACATACGGTTGGACATACAAGCCTTTCAGCTTACAAAATCTGATCCAAAGTAAAAGGATATCCAAAGAGACTGACTCACCTCTCCCAGAGGAAGCATGGAACCATTTTATTCTGGACGGAACCAACCCGAAGAAAAGAGTGAGAAACAGCAACCCGAAAAGGCAGCCCAGCTTTACCTGGAGCAAGTAATCCATGCTTCCTACTATCCCGGGGTATTGGTGTGACACCGCGCAGATCTGATATAGAAGGCGATGTTAGGGTGTCACCACAGCACACCCGTCCCTGCTATCACCCGACACACGCTGCATACAGCCCGGCTCTATCCAGAGAAACACCACGAGTATTGCCCATATAACTGGCCGCCCCCTCCGCTCTTCACTAAGCTTATCCCCGGGGTGGGGGCGGAGACAGAATGATGTCTGGGAAAGGGGGAGGAGCCTGATTGTGACTAGAGGTATTAGAGGGGCGGTTCCGGAGGGCGTGGTTGGGTTGAGAGAAGGGCTGTGATTGATGGTAAATTTGTGCCAGACGAACGTACTAGTGTGGCTGGAATACTGTATAGTCGTGGTAGCTGATACAATGCGCTTGTACTGACAGTACCCGTACCCCGTGTGTGGGTGACATAGCTCGTTAAAGTGTATTTCCACTTTTCCAGACAAATTGGGATAAAGCTTACTTTATGTCTGTGACATGTTCCCGTCACGGCCAGTGCAAGGATTTTTGCCTACACAGGCGAAGGAGCATTTTTGTGCCCAGCACCCCCCCTCCTCCACGTGTGCGCGCGCGTGCGCCCATAGATGGCTGATGGATTTTTTAAATTAAATTTTTATGTATCTGATTCTCTTTCATTTTTTATTATATTTTTTTTCTAATTATTTGTTAATTTCTTCATTTTTTTAAAATCTTACTATCTTTTACTTTTTATCATTTTAATTATTATTTTTTACTTATTTTTTCATGTTTATTTATTTTATAATTTTTTATCAATTTGTATTCATTTTTTCACTTAACTTTATTGCTATCACACAAGAATTAACAAGTCCCTGTGTGATCGCATTTGGAGGTGACAGGTTATCTTTGTTGAACCTGTCACCCTCAATACAGGAGTTCTAGCACAGCACTGTGCTAGAACTACAGCTCTCCTGCTCTCTCCTCCTGGCCGCTCTGAAGCTGCAGCGGCCAGGAGGAGAGAGAGAGAGCGCTAAATGGGCCCCTCTCCCAGTCGCATTTTTCCGCCCCCTGTCGGCGCCGCCAAGCAGTTGCTTGACCTGCCTATATGGTAGCGCCGGCTCTGGTTCCCGTTCACAGATCATAACTTCATAACAATCTGATCCAGCTTTCCCATTCTGTGTAATGTTAAAGTGATATAAAAGTCAGAAGGTTTTTCCTGCAGAATCAGCTGGTCCCCTGAGCACTGGTCCTGATATCCTGCTGTAGGGTAGCTCTGTTCCCTTGCAGGGTCTTATGGAGCCACCCTTGTGTGTGCTAGTCCACAGACACAGCAGGGAAAGCCCCTTCCCCTCTCCGGACTCCCTTTCCAGGCTAGTAGATGGAAAGTTGCTGGAGACTGTGCTGTCCCATGCATGTGCGCATAGGGTGACCTGAGTGGGTCTAGGCACTCCCTAATCAACCCAAGTGCAACACCGAGGGGGAAGGGGGGGGGCGGAGGGAGCTGTCAGTTTAGGATGGCCGAGTGGTGAGGAGAGAGAGCCGCTCGGCCAGGATCTGACAGCCGACAACTCTCTCTCTCATCCCCGTTCGGCCATCCAGAAGTGATAGCTCCCTCCTCCTGCTTTACATCACTTCCTGTTTCTCAATGGGTGGAAGCACTCAGCATAGAGGCTTCTACCCAGTGATAACTGGATGATAGTAAATATTTTACTATCACCAGATTCTGAATGAATGGGAAGCCTCTGTACGGAGTGCTTTCCATTCATTTAGAACAGAGGCTGTAGGAAAAGAGATTGAGGACTCTGTGTCCTCAATTTCGTTTTCTATTTCAAAAGGGAAATGTCAGGGGGCTGTTTAGATCCCTAATATTTCCCGAAGCCCCCCAACAATATAAAAAATTATAATAAAAAAAAACCACACACACTAATGCATACATAATATTAGACGTGTGCAAAGACAAAAAAATTGTTTTGGACGAAATGAATGGAAACGAAAAATGTTTTCATTAGTTTCATCAAACAAAACAAATGTTTATGCTTTTTTGGAAGATGTCAGCTGAGGTTGAGGTTCCATAGAACTGTATTAGATGTGAGACATTCCACAGCCGGAGAGGAGAGAGATGAGCGCTGACTACAGGGGGAGTGGGAATCAGGTAAGTCTTTCCTGTCCCCTAGGTATAAACAAGCAATACATCCTAAAGGGAACACAGACAACAATAAAAACCTGGTGTTCTAACCCCCTCCTCTCCCCTCCTCCATTTAGACTTCATTTGTACTTTAAATATGTTGAAAAGTATTTACAATGAACTTACATTTCAATGTTAAAGGTTTCTAAACCCTCCGCTTTTTTTGCATATATCTACTGCTAGCAAGCAGTAGATATATGCAAAACTTTTGTTTTTTAAACGGTTTAACCGCGGTTTAAACTTACCTGTGTGTTCCCTGCACGCTCCCGTCCGAAAATGTGAAACTGCACGGGCGGCCGCAAAGCATCTTGGGGCGGGCGCATGCGCAGTTCACATTTTCGGCCGGGACGCGAGGAAAGACACAAGGTAAGTCTATGGACGCGTGCACCCGCATGCAGACACCGTGGGAGAGTACGTGCCCACAAGCTCAGAGCAGTCAGCGCTGGATCGGAGATGCGCAGCAGCGCTGGAGAGAAGGCTGAAAAGGACAGGAAAGAAGAGGAAGATCGGATTAAAAGACATCATTTAAGGTAAGTGCTTTAATTAACGTTGGGGTGAAGGAAAACAAATTTCAGTCAGAAACGTAGTGCAGCAGTCAGCATGTAATGCAGTGCAGCAGTCAGCATGTAATGCAGTGCAGCAGTCAGCATGTAACGCAGTGCAGCGATCAGTAACGCAGTCAGCATGTAACGCAGTGCAGCGGTCAGCATGTAACGCCGTGCAGAGGTCAGAAAGTGCTTTAATTAACGTTGGGGTGAAGGAAAACAAATTTCAGTCAGAAACGTAGTGCAGCAGTCAGCATGTAATGCAGTGCAGCAGTCAGCATGTAATGCAGTGCAGAAGTCAGCATGTAATGCAGTGCAGCGGCCAGTAATGCAGCGCAGAAGTCATAATTTAACCGCAGTGCAGCAGTCAGCATGTAACGCAGCGCAGCGGTCAGTAACATAGTGCAGCAGTCAGCATGTAACGCAGAGTAGCAGTCAGCATGTAATGCAGTTCAGCAGTCAGCATGTAACACAGTGCAGCGGTCAGTAATGCAGTGCAGAAGTCAGCATGTAACGCAGTGCAGAGGTCAGCGGTCAGTAACGCAGTGCAGCGGTCGGTATGTAACGCAGTGCAGCAGTCAGCATGTAGTGCAGTGGTCAGTAACGTAGTGCAGCAGTCAGCATGTAACGGAGTGTAGCAGTCAGCATGTAATGCAGTGTAGCAGTCAGCATGTAACGCAGTGCAGCAGTCGGTATGAAATGCAGTGCAGCAGTCAGCATGTAGTGCAGTGGTCAGTAACGTAGTGCAGCAGTCAGCATGTAACACAGTGCAGAAGTCAGCATGTAACGCAGTGCAGCAGTCAGCATGTAATGCAGTGCAGCAGTCAGTATGCAACGCAGTGCAGCATATAACGCTGTGCAGAGGTCAGTAATGCAGTCAGCATGTAACGCAGTGCAGCAGTCAGCATGTAACGCAGCACAGAGGTCACACAGAAACAACAGGGACTTACAGTGACTCTTTTCCTCTCCTGTTTCAGGTGCTGTGCCATCTTTTTTTCCTCTCCTTGGGGGGTCGCCTGCACGTTTGGAGGTGATTCCAGCCACTTCCTGCTGTCCTTCCTTTAGGATCCAGCAGACAGGCAGTAGGAGTGCAGTCTCGCTCCAGCCAATAGCAGAAGAAGCACTGCACGGGCTTATCACAGGCAGCTGAAGAGCCTCTTCTCCTCCTCCTCTGCAGGAGCAGAGCGGCCGAGAGGGGAGGTTTTTACAGGCACCAGAGAGGCCCGGGGGGCAATTGCCACCCTGCCCCCGGCCCAGTCCGCCCCTGTTTCACAGTCACCAGATCTCAATCCAATAGAGCACCTTTGGGATGTAGTGGAAAGGGGAGATTCGATTCGCATCATGGATGTGCAGCCGACAAATCTGCAGCAACTGTGTGATACTATCATGTCAGTATGGACCAAATTCTCTAAGGAATGTTTCCAGCACCTTGTTGAACCAATTCCTTGAAGAATGAAGGCAGTTCTGGAGAAAAAAGTGGTACAACCCGGTACTAGCAAGGTGTACCTAATACACTGGCCAGTGAGTGTATATGCCTCAGTACATTGTGGTGCCATTCATTTTCAATGAAGGAAATGCACATGTGTTGCAGTGGACCACAACGCATGGTAACATTCCATGTTTTGTAGCCTGCTGCATTGCACAAATTTGTGCATGCACATTTTTTCAGATATGTTGGTGCTTTGGCAGCCCATTTAGCCCAAAACATGCATGCAATGTAGGCATGTAGTAAAGCAGAACACCAGGGTGTGAATGGGCCCCAAGAGGGAGGGGTTTCTTACAATATGTGAAGAGCGCTACTGTGACCAGTGTGAGCATGGTTCAATAGGCTTTGTACAACCATTGTGGTTTCATTATATGGAGCCACCCCACTATTCTTTCTGGTTGTCTGACATGCACTGAACTCTGGAGGGCTGGAGTCAGGAGGTGAACCAACAGGTTTTTTAATTGCTGCTTCTTGACAGTTTATAATATAGAGTGGATTAAATGATAGAACTCTGGGCTCCTGGCAGCCACCTTGGGTCTAGATCTGAGAGGAACTTAGAGGTCTGGACTGCAGTACTAGCTCTTCTATTCTTTTCCTTTTGGCTGCCTGAAAAGTTCCCTGAACTCTGACTAGGCTGGGTGGGAGGTCAGCGGTGGCACCTTTTAGTGGAGTGTGGAGTGAAGGATGGCCATATTGCTGCAGAGCCAGAAAGGATGCAATAAACAGCATTATAAAATGCACAATAGCTGTACTAACTTTGAATTGTGATGGTACAATATGCTTGGTGAGAATGTGTTCGTATACAACGGGGTAGGCAACCTTGGCACTCCAGCTGTGGTAAAAATACAAACCCTATCATGCCTCCAGGAGTCATGCCTGTGGCTGCCGGTCTTGCAGTGACTCATGGGACTTGTAGTTCCACAAGAGCTAGAGTGCCATGGCTGTCTTGATCTCCCTTTCATC